ATGTTGCCTAGTTGTTCTCCCTTCCGTGGAGAGAAGATAAAAAAAACTCTTTGGGTGGTGACACCAGTTATTAACGGCAGATCTAAAAGAAGTTGTATTTGAAATTAGAGTTTGTTTTTACCTGACTCTGTTGTGTTAATCGTGGACATCTCTGTTACTAGATGTTACAAGTCAGGAGAGTATAGCGAGAGCTGCATCTGAGGTGGAACAGCTCGTTCAAGAGGAGGGTCTCAACTGTCTCATCAACAATGCTGGAATTAATGTAGTTGCCAACCTTGAGACAGTCACTGCAGACAAGATGTTGGAAAACTTCCATACCAACTCTGTTGCCCCGTTGATGATCACCAAGGTTTCATTTTGCAAATTAAATCTACAAACAATATATGCACATATGTACGCTCATCACAGATGTCTAAACACTTACTGACTTACAGAACTTGTCATGCAGGCCATGCTCCCACTGCTGAAGCGAGCAGCTGCAAAAGAAATGGGGATGGGCATCCACAGAGCAGCAGTCATCAATATGACGTCTCTACTGGGTTCAGTTGAGCTCTACTGGGGTGATCGTGCCAACAGTTTCAAATGGTACCCCTACAGAACATCAAAGGTTTGTGATATTGTGTTCCTGGAGCTCAATGTCAAGATAAAAGTATCCCTGAGAAGGGACTAAGTAATATAAGTGTATACTCTGAAAGTTGATTTGGAAATGTTTATATTTATATATTTAATCCTTTTGTTGAAGCACCGTTTTCTATGGAAGCCCGTTTTCGCCACGGAAATAAAAAAATCTTTTTTTAAAAATGTATTGCGACTTTTTTCTCGCAATTTCTTAAAAAAATAATAATAATTGCGAGATATAAACTCAGAATTGCTAAATGTTAACTCAAAACTGCAAAATATAAACTCAGTTCTGTGAAGTAAAGTCTGAACTACGAGATATAAACATTTGAGAGAAAAATGTATTTATATCTTCATATCTTGCAATTCTCACTTTTTTCTCAGAATTATAAAAATCACAATTGCTTTTTTTTTTATTCTGCGGCAAAATCAGGCTTTCATTGCATTGTATTGAAGGCTATAATAGTATGTCTGTGAATATATCAGTTGAGATATTGAGTTGCATTTGCTTTATATCAGAGTGCACTGAACATGGTCACCAGATGCTTGGCAGTGGACCTGGAGGCAGATGGGATCCTGTGTATGGCTCTGCATCCAGGCTGGGTACGCACTGATATGGGTGGACCTGAAGTGAGTCTCATTCTTCTATTTGTTCTTTATCACAGCTACCTGCTAACCAAACCGTTACAAAACATAAAACGAGTGATAGACTCTTGTGGTTTGTTGATTGTTTTCTATTCAGGCACCATTGACCCCTGAGGAAAGCATATCCTGTGTGTTGTCTGTGATTGGGGGTTT